TTCTTTATACAAGCAATATTAAAAGATAGAGGAATCACATATAGAACCACCAGGAGGGTAGAAATAAATGTTTCGTCTGAAAAAAAAAATGTTGTGAATAATTTGAGCTACAAAAATCTTGTAGCCATTTCCTAGTCCTTTAATCAACAATCCACATGAAAATTACCAGATACTGTTTATATTCTTTCACTGATATTGTACTTGGTAAGGACTAGAACGTTTCAAATTTGTATTTAATTCTTTTGAACATAGGTTTTAAAAAACAAACCCGAAATTCCCAAGCGTTTGATCCGAAGAATAATTTCACTACTGGTTTATATTTCAACAAACACTGTAAAACAATGTCCAAACCTAAATCACTTGTATGCCACTTTCTTCTCATCTTTGCGGGTGTAAGTGAAGTAACTAAAATGGAAAGAGAACAAGTATTGGAAATACCTCTACTTATTCACGCAGTGCAAGTTGAGTTTTCAGATGCACCAGTATAGGTGAAGTTTTGAGTTTACTAAATATGCTTTTAGGATATTTACCGCAATGAAATTCTAATCCAGCAAATTATTTCATCAGAACATATTATTGAATTTATGTCGGGGGGAAAAGAAGGCAAAACCTAAACTCAAGACTGATTTTAATTTCCTGTGCCTACAACTCCAGGTATCTATCAGAGTCAGCAATGAAGATTTAACATACCAAATGCCCTGGAACGACAACGGTCTTAATTTAAGGAAGACTGATGGAGGTAAAAAACAAGTTTCCTCAAGCAGTACCAAATACCAAATGCTAAGAGATGCTCGGTGCGAATTCGATAGCCAAAACCACCTTCTGTGAAGGTCAGTGACTCGAAGAACCAAAGTATCCCGCAACCAACAGCTGCAGTGTAAGAAGTGCCCTTACAATGCACCAAGTTCAGGCCCCTGAAATTAAAAATCATAGAAAAAGCAAGAACTGGTCAATTTTCAATCATAACAAAAAAAAAAAAAAATAATGCAAGGAAATTAACACAGGAGAAAAGATCACATTTTCAGACTGTTACTTTACATTGGACGAAAAGGGGGCTCTAGATACAATGGGAAACCAGTACTAGAATTTCAATATTCTATGACAAAAATAGAAGATGCATGCAGGTAAATTTCACTTTGATCTCCTGCCATCTAACAGTGACAAGTCCCAAGTTCCCAACCATTTGAGGTCAGCTACATGAATCTCAGTTCTCTGTTCCATCAAATCGTCGACTATATTTTCATAAGTCATACAGAATTACATCTTTCAACTATCTGTGATTTTCCACCATGTTAATTTTAGTCTTCCGCTGCCCCCCAACCACTGGCATCTATGTTGCTTACATCACTCTTTCTAACTGGTGCATCTATTTGTCTTTGTTATACTTGGTCCATATCAGAAACATGAAACCAGAACCATCAAGGAAATGATATTAATCTCTCTCTAACATATAGCTTGTCTTGTAATGCGAAGTTTGTGAAACACTAAGCATTATGATTAACTTAGACGCATGAAACATCTAACATCTGAAATACAAGAAAATATATAACCAGCAGCACCAATCATCAAACCCCGCAGTTTCGATGAAGTCAACATAATAACAACAAAGATTTTTTAAACATGTGCAGTAACATGAAACTGAACACTGAAAAACAGATCATTTCAACTGCTGATACGAAACAATACTCACTTTTGTTCTGTGCATGCCACGTGTGTATACCATTATACCAATTCCACTGGAAAAACAGAGCAACAAGACGAACCAAACCAGCAGCAACCACTTCAACAAATGCCATAACAAACGATCTCTGAGGAGACATCCCAGCAGTGGCAATAGACAGCAACGCCCCTTCAAGGTTACAAGGCACAATAAAAGCAGCAGACTTGATCCCCCCAAAAGCCTTCTTTGCTACTTCTTCAGCTTTCATCACCCCTGACGACTCTGCTATAATGCTAGTCAGTTGCGGCCGTTTTTTCGTCTCTACAAAAAGAAGTGAATATCAAAATCAGAGTGGATGAAAAATCAAATCCAATTCAATCAAATCAAGCAAATCTCACATGGAAAGTAAACAACTTTATTCACATTTTACCTTCAGTGAGACCAGGGGTGTCTGTGTCCGGAGGGAATATAAGAGAAACATGAATATCATGAGATATCACCTCTTGTTGCAGAGCTTCGGCCAACCCACGAAGCCCAAACTTGCTCGCAGAGTAAGCTGTGTAGCCGTAGATACCAACTTGACCAGCTTGGGAAGACATGAGAGCAATCGAACGGGGCATACCATCTCCTTTCTTCATTTTGGGCAAAGCAGCTTTGATCATGTTGAAGCTGCCAATCAGATTTACGTCCACCATGAACTTCACCTCATCCAATCCCTGCTTCTCGAGTTCTTCAGGGACGAAGACCCCTTGGTTGACAATCAGCACATCAATGGGGCCTGCCTCCTCCACCGCTTTTGATACCGCATCGTAGTCACGAACGTCAGCAGAGAAGATCGACACGTCAATGCCTGTGGAGAGTTGGATGTAGTTCTTTGCTTCCTCGAGCTTGTCGATGGAGCGGGCGAGGATGGAGACTCGGGCACCCTCGGAGGCGGCGTGATGGGCCAATGCCAGCCCGATTCCGCTGGAACCTCCGGTGATGAACACGTGGCGGTTCTTGATTGGGATCTTGACAGGGCGGGGCCGGACTATGAGGTAGAGGATGAGAAGGAGAGCGAGTGGGGGCAGGAGGAGGAGGAGAAGGGCGAGGAAAGAGAGGTTGAAGTATGCCATTGACGGAGCTTTGAAAAGGTAGTGCAAATGAAGGCTGGTGATGTCTCAATCAAAGCTTCTGTGAAGTGCCTATCAATTGATATCCCCCCATCTATCTACACATAGAATAATTCAAATTAGAGAAAGTCATAACGAGAGTACAATTTTGAAAAAGAAAATTGAGCAACAATTGGATGGAAATCAACTTGGACAGAGGTTTTCATTCATTCAAATACAATTGACTTTGCATCCATGATGAATTAAATAAAAAATCTTTTGATTTTCCGTTGAAGAAGAAATAGAAGCAAGTAAACCCTAGATGGATGGATGATGGATCCATTAACTAAATCAATCCATGAGTAAAAATGAAAGTCTAAGGAGGGAGGGAGGCTATAAATTACCTTTTTAAACCCCAATCAATCGCCCTCAGCTTAGAAAGGGAACCAAATAGTTGGGTGAGATGCACCAAGCATGTCAACTTAACTGGTGTGATGAGAGAGAGAGAGAGAGAGAGAGAGAGAGAGAGAGAGGAGACGGCGACGGAGATGACGATTTGGGAGAGTTGTTCTGTTTTAGTCTGATCTGACGTGGACACAATAACACAGGTGTCTTCTTTCTATTGGCTTGGGATGCCATCTCAGTACTAACGATGTACCAGAGCCCTTTTTTATTTCCCCTTTGCTATGGCATGTAGTGGAAAAACAATAAAATAAATTGTTATGACAGGCACTATTCGCGTTAATAACCCCATAGCACATGGGGTGAAAATGCTCTTAGTGTTGAGAAACCGAACCAAACCAAACTGACAAAATTACACCGGCCGCCGAATCAACGTCGTGGTAACTTGATTTAGCATAGGGAGGACCATGGAAGAATAAAAAAACATGTGAAACAGGCTAATAAATTAAGTAGTCGCCCATATGCATGTGTTCATGCAAAAACTTATCAATTCATTGTAATTGTAATCATTTGATATTAGACACATTGATAAAGTTCAATACTTCATTTGAATAATTAAATCTGGGAGGGTAGATTTGTTGGAATCCCTCTTTCTTAGATAAAAAGAAGAAAAGAAAAGTATATTAGTTCATTTCAACAAATCTAAGGAAAAAATCACAATTAATAAGCTCATTCTAATTTTTTTTTTTTATCAACAAAATAACGCCTGAACTTTTGAAATCAAAGAATGAATTCCACTTCGTTAAATTGAAGCAGTTTTTTTTTTCTATTAAAAAAAAAGCTATAAAAAACGCACGCAACTAAAACAAAGAGAATCATTTTTTGTTTTTTGTTTTTTTTTTTGTTTTGAGAAATTTACTATTATACACAATATATGAGCACAAATTATAA